TCTGTGGGTTTTTTATTGATGGAACCAGAGGAATTTGATTTGTACATAAAACTGTTATTTACTAAACTGGTGCTACACAAGCCCCGTAGCCAGATCATAGTTATTTTTAGGAATGTTAATTAGGCTAGCCCGATATGACCTAAAACTCGTAAAAACCGCATATAATACCCAAACTTTGCAAAAGAACGCTAACTTATCCAAGAGTGTTCTTGAAAAACAATTAGAAATATCATGTAGAGAAAAAAATCTAAACAATTGTAACATAAGTATCGAGATATTATGGTAAATGTTTTATTAGAATAAAGTTTGTAAAACATATTTAGTTTTAAAGTCTATAAATATTTTCATCAGTGTTCTATTTCTAACAAAGTTGAAAAAGTCGAATAAAAATAAAATTCAAAGAAAACGTGTATAAACATAAAGTTCTCCAAATTTTTCTTAGAGTCTTTCAAATATCTTCCAATTGTTCTTCATATTTTTCGGGATTGTTTGGATTCGTTGGAATACTTGAATTGGTCTTTGCGTCGGATTTGTACTGGATTCTCTTCCGTCTCTCGTCAAATTTGGTTGGTGAAACTGGATCGCAACGTTTCTGATACAATAACAGCTTACTTTTGGTACGATGTGCTTGTTTCAATGGGTGATGCGTGCACGCCGAAGAAGCGGCAAATGACCACTTTGTTGTACCTTTCCAACTTTCGCATTAAATGTGTGACGTTCGCGTCCGCATAATAATGAGTCTGCATGCACAAGTTAACAGTTCACGTAAAATTCGGATAATTTGGATCGGGTATGGGTGGATTGGGTTACCCGATAACCTGATCTAATATATGTCATGCCATGTATTTAACGCGTTTATCAATTATGAAAACAAATTATTACAAACATTTATCCAGTTGACTTATAAATTAAATGCTTGACTCAACTACTTAAGAAAAAAAAATTCTAAACAAGCAAATTGTTTTGACGAGATCAACTCTTAAAAATGTTACAGTGAAATCAAACTAGTTTTCTATATAGACTTCATGTTACAAAGTTATGAAACAAGTATCCGAGAGCAACATAAAGTCTCACACCAAAAATGTATCCTAACAATAATCTTTTTTCAATCCTCTGTTTTATCCTAGCCGTTAGCTTCGGTTTTGTCTCTGCACAAAAATGTGGAGACTCACTGTTTTTCAGACCCAACGGTACTTATGATATGAACCGTCGTCTCATCCTCTCAACCCTTGCTTCCAACGTCAGTTCAAAAGACGGCTACTACACCGGTTCGGTCGGTGAAGGGTCCGAAAGAATCTATGCCTTAGGCCTCTGTATTCCAGGGACTGATCCAAAGATTTGCTCCGATTGTATCCAACCCGCTTCTGTCGGTTTATTACAGAACTGTCCGAACCAGACCGACTCATTAGACTGGAGAGCCGATAAGACGCTCTGTGTAACACTTGTCTTGGGTCCAGGATGTCACACTCTGTTTAGTTCGTTACTCAAACCGCTAGTTTTTCGACGAGATGGTTTTATCTCCGTACACAGCTGAATATAATACTGGATATATCACTGAAAACGTAACTGAGTTTATCAGCATGTGGGATGATTTCATGAAAGATATGAGAGCTGCAGCTTCGTTTTCGACTCCTGGATCGCCCGCACGCAGGCATTACGCGGCTAATGTATCCCTTCCGACACCAGGTTTCCAGAGGGTTTACGCGTTGATGCAATGTATCCCGGGGATCACTTCAGCGGATTGTGATACTTGTCTTCAAAGAAATGTCCGTGACTACAAGGCGTGTTGCGGTATGAACATAGGAGGAACTATTCGGAGGCCGGTTTGTGTTTTCCGATGGGATCTTTATCCGTATCTCGGTGCTTTCGATAACATAACAACGCAACCTCCTCAAAGACCTCAAGCTCCTCCTCCTCCTCCGGATGGCAAAAAGATTTCTACGGGAATTATCGTGGCGATTGTTGTTTCCGTGGCCGTATTCGCGGCATTCCTCGTTTTAGGACTAGTTTTTTGGAAGAGGAAATAATCATACAAAACTGTTAAAGTAAGTTGCTTTTTTTAGCAGTCTTACTTTACCGTTTTGGAACAGAGGATATGTCGTAACACTACTGACTACACATCTATTGTTGCAGCTGATGATGATATCACAGGTCCACAGTCGTTGCAGTTTGATTTTAAGACAATTGAGACCGCAACTGATAAATTTGNGGAGAATAACAAAGTTGGTCTAGGTGGATTTGGTGAAGTTTACAAGGTCTATATATATGAGCTACTTAAGAATATATAACTTGCTTGATTTGTCCTGAAAGCTAAGAACTAAAAAGCTATTTATATGTATGTTTGTAGGGAACGTTACCAAATGGAACCGATGTTGCGGTGAAGCGGCTATCAAGAAACTCAGGACAAGGCACACAAGAGTTTAAGAACGAGGTTGTGCTTGTGGCTAAGCTTCAACATAGGAATCTTGTTAGGCTTCTTGGGTTTTGCTTGGAAGGAGATGAACAAATACTTGTCTACGAGTTTGTTCCCAACAATAGTCTAGATTTTTTCATCTTTGGTATGTTTCTGATTCCCTAATTCTCTTGATATTCTTGAAACCAAATTTTGTTGTTAATTGCATGTCGAATGCGTAGACCCCACAAAGCGAAATCAGCTGGACTGGACAAGACGGTACAATATCATCGGAGGGATTGCTCGAGGGATTCTTTACCTTCATCAAGATTCACGGATAACAATCATACACCGTGATCTCAAAGCGAGTAACATACTTCTAGATGATGAAATGAACCCGAAAATCACGGATTTTGGCATGGCAAGGATATTCGGGATGGAGCAAACCAGAGCCAATACTAGCAAGATAGCTGGAACCTTGTAAGTGGTTGTTGTTACTTTGATGAAACTTTTTGATCGTAGCTTCTTTAGTTAGACTCAAGTCTTGTGCTTTTTTTTTCTAGCGGTTACATGGCTCCCGAGTATGCGATGCACGGTCAATTCTCCATGAAGTCCGATGTCTATAGCTTCGGAGTTTTGATTCTTGAGATCATAAGTGGCAAAATGAATAGTAGCTTCAACCAAACTGATGGATCTACTGGCAATTTGGTCACACATGTTAGTATTTATTTCGTTTCTTTCAATTATAACCAAAATGTTTATGAACTATTTAATGATCTAATCATATATTAATATTAGGCTTGGAGACTATGGAGAAAAGGTTCGTCTTTAGGACTCTTAGACCCGACTTTCGGGAAGAATTATCAGAGCGATGAAGTAACTCGATGCATTCATATCGCACTTTTATGCGTTCAAGAAGATCCTGAGGATCGTCCTATGATGTCTACAACCATATTGTTGCTCACTAGTAACACAATTACTTTACAAGTGTGTTGGGTATGGGTTGAGCACCCTTACTTAAAACCCTTCCCAAATTGAGATCAACTCATGGAGGCCATTAATTTTTAAAGGTCCATAAAGTCTGGCAAAAGTAACCCACCAAAAGTAACCAAAGTTACTTTCATACCATGGTTAGTGTCTCATTTTCTATATAAATAGAGAGGACACCCCATTGAGAAAGGAGATTCACTTTTTTTTCACAAGAACTGAGAAGCTCCACTACAAACTCTCTGAAACTTGCTCTGACAGCTCCCGAGAGCCCCCAACTCGCCAGTTCGGAGCTCTGCAGCCCACAGCTCTTCAATTCGGAGCTCGCAGCTCCCCATCTCGCAGCTTTCCTAGCGTCACCAAGCTTCCCTAGCTCCGACAACTTCCTTAGCTTCGCCAGGTCGTCGCTCCCACGCTCGCCCACTTCCTTAGCTCCGCCGAGCTTCCCAAGCTCGTTAGCTTCCCTAGCTCCGCCAAGCTTCCCTAGCTCCGCGAGGTCGTCATTATATAGCTCCGCCAGTGCTCCGCCAAGCTTCCCTAGCTCCGCGAGATCGTCATTCCGTAGCTCCAACAGTTTCCCTAGCTCCGCCAAGCTTCCCTAGCCCCGCGAGATCGTCATTCCCTAGCTCCTTGAGGTCGTCATTCCATAACTCCGACAGCTTCCCTAGCGTTGCCAAGCTTTCCTAGCTCCGTCAGGTCATCATTTCCTAGCTTCGCCAAACCTCCTTAGCTCGACAGCTCCCCTAGCTCGCGGCCTCCCTAGCTCGCAGCTTCGCTAGCTCCGATAGCTTCCAAGCTCACCAAGATAGCTTCCAAGCTCGTCATCAAAACATCTTCCAAGCTTACCATGACAGCTTCCGACCTCGTCATCAAGACTTCCTCCAAGCTCGCCAAGACAGCTTCCGAGCTCATCATCAAAATAGCTTCC